CTTCTTCTTCTTCTTCTTCTTCTTCTTCTTCTTCTTCTTCTTCTTCTTCTTCTTCTTCTTCTTCTTCTTCTTCTTCTTCTTCTTCTTTGCGTTCCCGGGCGAGATCTCAGGGGTTCTCAACTTTTGGTTCTTCAACCTTCAATGCAACTCATGTTAACGTACGTGACCGTGTTTCCTACATTGCTAGTAAATTGTAGGGCCCCTTGCCTTTAGGCATCTATATTCCGATAACGAAGGTACTCTATTTTAAGTTTTTTTTAACAGACTTGAGTGTTTTCATTTTTGGTAGGAATTTTGAAAGTTTTAATTTTTTAAAATAAAATTATTTTTTTCTGAGTGGCGGCCTACTCTTTCCGATTTTAGAAACCGAGGCTTGAACCCTTAAACCCATAGCCTCATGGTTACGAGTCCGGTAGCCAAAGCACTAGATTTCCTGTTTGGTTTATATTCCTTCTTTTCGTCACGGCTCAAAAGCTCTAATAGCTGCACGATAGGAAAAGTAGAAGAGGTAATTATATGAGTTCGATCATTGATAAGGCAATCACCCAAATCCCAAACATTCTCCTCCGTCTCCATCCCAAAACCTCCCCCTCACCCCAACCTCTTCAATAAGCCCTAATAACCACCACCCCCCTACTTTTTATCTCCTCTCTTTTACACCATCTCACCCCCCTCCCACCCCTTTCCTCACTTTTCAGCCAACTCCCCCGTGCCTGCAGTCTCCCCACCCTAGGATGTTACTATTCTTGCTTCAACTACACACTCAACATCGCTAGCCAACACCTGGGACCTCCCATCGCCTTGCCCGTGTTGTCACAATTCCAGCAACAGATGACGTTTGAGCAAGCTTTCGACAACCTCATTAGGACAAACGACCAGAACGGAGATGGTGTGATTACCCCTGCCGAGTTTGCCAAAGTGAGAAACATTTGTGTCACGACTGGATTATTTTTTGTTTTTTAATGAAGGAAAGCAGATCGTCACAGTAACGGTAATTTAGATCTGGAAAAAAAAGCAAGATAAAGAGACAACAGAGAGAAAGTAAAGAAGTAGAACTTACCAGTGGTTTGTTTGTTTCAGTATAGAGAAGCACATCGGTACAATAATGGTCATTCAGTTCTAGGGAAAAGTAAAACAAACAGAGACAGAAACAACACAGGAAAAGTAAAGAAGTAGGACCAACACGAGGCGCCATCCAATCACGCACTCTACACGGTGGAATCAGGCGCTGGTCAAATTTAGGGCATATTGTGGAGTTATTGGTATTATCTTAAAGCTTGCACATTTATCTTACTTTTGATTTTAAAAAATACCCCTCTGTCTTGAATAGAAAAGATATTTGTGATTGAAGGAGGAAGGGTCCGCTTGATGTCAGAGGTAAAATTAGGGAGGAAAATGGCCGCCAATTTTGGTTACTTCCAAGGTTTGAGCGTCCTTGGAAAATGTAAATTTTTGGTGACTTTGATGAAAGCTTTTCGGTAAAATCCATAATACGAGGTATATCAATGATTTTTAAAGGGTTACAAAAGGTATTGCGCCAATGTTATTTTATTTATGTATATATATTTATTCTTTATTGGGGACAATTTTTCAAATGTAGAGAAAAAGTGTCCTTTTTTTAACTCATTATTTTCACCAGAGCCTGGTGTCACCATGATGCCACATATGTTATGTCTTTGTCTTATCTAATTTTTTCTGTCCGCCTTTCTCTTTTCTCTCCTCTTTTCTCTCTCTCTCTGTCTCTCTGTCTCTCTCTGTCTCTCCCTGTCTCTCTTTCTCTCTCTCTCTCTCTCTCTCTCTCTCTCTCTCTCTCTCTCTCTTCAACTCTCTCTCCCCCCCCCTCTCTCTCTCTCTTTTCAACACACACACACGCTCTCTCTCTTTTCATTACTCTCTCTCTCTCCCTCTCTCTCTCCCTCCCCCCCCCCCTCTCTCTCTCTCTCTCTCTCTCTCTCTTTCACTGCATCTGTCTCTGTCTTTCCCTCCCCATTCCCTTCTCTTTCTATCCCTCTTTCTAAAATCCATCTCTATACAAGTTGTCAAGGGCATAAATATAAAACGGAGAATAACAAATGACACTACATTAAATATCTATCACCTGATTGTTTCCCTTACACGTCTATTTTCTCTGTCCATCTTCCAGGATGTAGCGATCTATGACACCAACAAGGACGGCTGTATTGACCAGTTGGAGTTCACAGCTAGGTAGTCTTGTGTGTTTGTGTGTAGATACGTGCAATGATCTGCTCGTTTTAATTCTCGGTTATTCTGAAACATCCACTTAAAGTCAAATTGTTTCTTGACGCGGTGGAATAAGGCTCTTGTCAGTTTTTAGGCATATGAAGTTATTGTTATCATCTTAGAGCTTGTTCAATTATCTTGCTTTCAATGAAAAAAGTATCCATTATTCTCCAATGGAAGTCGAGATACTTGTGTTTGAAGGAGGTAGGGGTTACCTGGTTTCAGAGGTAAACTTAGAGAGAAAATGGCGCCAAAGCTTGGTGACTTCCAAAGATTAAGAGTCCTTGGAAATTGTAAATTTACATCTTTTTGGTTTCTTAGCTCAACGTTTTTCAGTAAACGCCACACCGCAATGTGTTTTTAAAAGGACATGAAGTGTGTTGGGCCAAACGGGAGGAAAAAAAGCCGTTTTCTTCGATTTCCTTTTTTTGACGAGCGCCTGATTTCATCACGATGCCTTACAATACATCTAATTATGAAGAGGCGATACAGATAGTTTTCAGAGAAATCTTAAGATTTAAAAAGTCTCTGGTGAATTTTTCTTACCTAAAATTCCAGATTTTTACACTACCCCCTAAAAACATGTTTGATGGGAAATGTTATGCCCAGGCTAGGTTTAACAACCTTTTCACCCCCGCCACAACTCATCTTAACAATGTTTGTGACCTCAATAGGCTAGTGGTTAGACTACCGGACTCGTAATCGTGAGACTGCGGGTTCGGGGGTTCGAGCCTCAGCTCGGTTCGACGTTGTGTCCTTGGGAAGGGTACTTTACTCGAATTTTCCACTTGGCTTGGTCCTTTCGGAGATAGGAAGGTCCCCCACTCTAAAATAACCTAATAGTTTTAGTACGGGGCGTCATAATTAAATTATTTCACATTAAATTTTAACAATGTTAAGATATGTAGAAGTTAGTTCTGATTTTGTATGAAAGTGTATGCCTGCTAAAGCTTTTAGGACACTAGTCCATATAATTATAAGTAGTTGGTGTATGACTGTAGATGGATATTAGTTCACTGTGGCGGTCTGGTGTGTAAAATAATGTGTTTTGCCTGTGTGTCTGGTGCGTACAATAGTGTGCTTTGCCTGTGTATCTGGTGTGAATTATAATGTGTTTTACTTGTGCGTCTTAGTGGATGTTTGTATATTGTGGCGGTCTGTGTGTGAACAATAGTGTGCTTTGCTTGTGTGTCTGACATGAACAATAATGTGTTTTGTTTGTGTGTGGTGTGTACAATAATGTGTTTTGCTTGTGTGTCCAGGTGGATGTTCGTCCGCTGTGGCGGTCTGGGTCTGTCTCGGGAATTTGCTGAAGAACGCTTCAGTTTCCTCGTCCCGTTTGTCGGAGGACCGTTTCCTAATTGTAACGGTAAGGATTTTCTACTTTTGTCTGCGTGTCTGTGTGTCTGTGAGTGCGTCTGTCTGTCTGTCTGTCTGTCTGTCTGTCTGACTGTCTGTCTCACTGCCCTCTCTATTTCTCTCTCTCACTATCTCCCTCTTTCACTCTCTCTGTCTCTCTATTTCTCTCGCTAACTATCTGTCACCCTTTCTCTGTATATGTTCTTCGTCTCTCTCGCTATCACTCTCTCTCTCTCTCTCTCTCTCTCTCTCTCTCTCTCTCTCTCTCTCTCTCTCTCTCTCTCTCTCTCTCTCTCTCTCTCTCTCTCTCCCCTCTGCATCTATCTATCTGTCTATCTATCTACCTGTTTAGCAGTATTTAGTATAAATTTATCAATGTATTATCTATCTATTTATCTAAATCACATAATATGAATATTTATCTAAACCCTCCTTCCAGGAATACCTACCAACTCTTTCCAAAGAGACTTCCCTACCGACCCCTTCATCAACAGCCAGATACAAACTTTGATCAAAACTTGTGAAGCCGACAGAAGCAGGTGAGTCCAACGTACCTATCTATCTATCTATCTATCTATCTATCTATCTATCTATCTATCTATCTATCTATTAGATTTCTGAGCCTCTCTCCTTGATGTTGGTCTCACTTTATCTCTCTCTCTGTCTGTTTTTCTGTCTGTCTGTCTGTCTGTCTCTGTCTCTTTCTCTATTTATCTCTCTCTCTCATTCTTCCTCTATCTCCTACTCTCTCTCACTCTCTCTCTCTCTCTCTCTCTCTTTCTCTCTTTCTCTCTCTCTCTCTCCTTCTCTCTCCCTCTCTCTCCCTCTCCCTCAAATTCTCATCCTTGTTCTCTCCCTCTCTCTCCCACGACCAGGTACCAGACAGTCAAGGACTGTAACCAACTCCTAGATTTCTGCGTCTACTCGCCCAAGTACTCCGCCTACGACGGCTGCAAAACCTACATCAACGGGGTCATCAAGGGCATCTACGGATTCGCTTTCTAGACCTTTAACCAATTCCTATCCACCCCCCCCCCCTCCAATAGGATGTGTTTAGCTTGCGAAGCAATTCCTGAATTATGTAGAAATAAAAGAAATATACATGTATTATAACATATCGCTTTTTCAAATTGTGTTTAATTTTTATTTTCATTTAGATTACTTTAGTTTAGTAACTTCTTTGGTTCTTCGGCCCTTCCAGCCTAAATCGGTCTAATAAAAGGCGAAGATAAGAGGTGATACAAGCGTTACATTATATGATGCCATGGTTAAAAGGAGGAAAGCTTTTGCAGACAATGACGATAGATGTTTGGTAGGGGGAAAGAATGAGTCTCAAAACTCTACGGAAGCCTGGAGGACCTGTGGTAGGTAGCAGTCATCACACGAGAGACTGTGAGAGAAGGAGGAGGAGGAGGAGGAGGAGGAGGAGGTGGTGGTGGTGGTGGCGAAGGAGGATTTTAGTTTTTGTTAGAGTTTTACGGCTCGCACAAAAAGACTAATTTGCATAACGCAAAATTCTCACTCAGCAGCAAGTTGTATACACTTTACAATCTATATTATCATCATTACCACAGCAGACCTGATAGCATGCTAAAATAATCCCAACTTTCTGGGAAGCATACATTGCAAGCTGCCATTTTACGGTCCAACAAACACGAACATACAGACAAGATCTTTCGCTTTCTATAAAGAGGTGCCTCTTTCAAACACAGGTGAAATGAGGAAAATTTGCGTAAACGTTATTTTGTTTAGTAAGTGTTTTACGGCGCTCGCAACTGCAAAAGGCAATATGAGCGCTAAAAATTATTTCTTTCTCAAGGACACAACGTCAAACCCCCTCACCCGCAAACCCATGAGTTCGGTTGCTGCTTAAACACTGCGCTACTTTTGAACTACAGAAGTTCTATGTGACATTTTTTGCTGTTTTGAGTTACTAAGACTATGCAGTGGCGGTGATTAGTGAAGGGCTTATGGGTTTGAGCCCCTAACCCCCACCCCCTCCCCACCCCAACTCTATCCCTTAGTAAATGAAAGTTTCTGAAATCGCACGCAATGAACACAGTTGTCAGCTTGGCGGCTTGCCCGTTTATCTAATCATTGTTGTCACCGCTTACAACTATAGCAACCTAACAGCCAATCAAATGTCGTTAGGGCTCAGGAAGAATAAGCCGGTTCTCACGCCCGTCTTTAATGAAACTCTTCTTGTAAAAAGGTAGAAGACTTCTACAAAACTACACTGCACAGAGGGCTCACGCTCTCCCAGCCCTGACAATGGGGTGAAAGTTTACGACACACTTTCCCCCAGTGACACAGATACCTATGCGCCCATTGGGCCTTTGTTAGGCGCGTTCTATTTTCCACAACAACACGACTCAATCCACCTCATAGACGGTATGTGTTTGGAGTGCTGTGTGTTTGTGCCGCTGAGATTTAACAGTTATTAATTACATCAAACCACTTTTGAGGCAACTTTTTCTTCAGATAAAAACTAATTACAGAAATTTGGAGGTGAAACGGCTTCGTTCCCACCATCCAGAAGAGCTTAACTTTAACTAAGAACAAAGAGATGGAAGGCAAAGGTGACTCTTCTCGTTTGAATGGTTCTCAAAATGCCGTGGCTCGCAGTGAGTATAGCAAAATCATCACTGTTTTGTTCTTATTACTTGCTTTTTAGTGGTAAAGAAGAGGATGAAACCTAAGCCCCACTCAAATCTTGGTCCACCCACCGCCACTGAGACTATGAGGTCAGAAACGAAAGATTCCATCTGCTCTATCAAAATTGTAAGATCTTTCATTGTCGTTTGCATGATATTTAAAGCTTTTCAAAAGAAAAAGCTTGACCACGATGTAAACTTGAAAAGTTTTTCGTTAATTTCTCAAAAGTTGGTACGGAGGAGATAGAACTTTGTAATGATAGGGTAGCCATTGGACTACGGACGTCACAAGAGAGGCCTTTGTCAGTTATAGAAGCATGACAATTTGATAGAAGTTTTTGTAAAAGAAATTTTTCCTGGAAAATGTGGTAGAGGACGACTAAAATGAAAATGGAGTCAGTGCATGTAAGTGTCATCAAGGCTGAACTTATCGCGTTGGAAGAAGAAGAAGAAGAAGAAGAAGAAGAAGAAGAAGAAGAAGAAGAAGAAGAACAACAACAACAACAACAACAACAACAACAACAACAACAACAACAACAACAACAACAATAACAACAACAACAACAACAACAACAACAACAACAACATGAACAAGAAATATGTTAAGGAGTTGTACAAGGCGTGGATAAAATCAAAGCTAAATGAGGACTATGTGAAATACAGACTTTGCAAGACCTCTTAGCAAGAGGATAGTCAGAAGTTCTAAGGAACAATCATGGAAGGAATATGGTGAAATATTAAGTGAACTGTACAAACACTCGCCGCGCCAGTTCTACAAAAGTGTCAAAGCAATGAGACTACGAGACGAATCACACAAACCCAACAACAGTAGTCAATGACAAAGATGGAAACCCTCTCAGTGAAGAAGAGAGCATCAAAAATAGATGGCAGGAGTATTTCAAGAAACGCCTAAACCAAGCAGACAAGAAAACACACAGAGCTAATTTCAACGACGATGTACAGAAGAAGAAGAACCAAACATCTTACGGTCAGAGGTACAGAAGGCACTGAAGAATAACCCAAGGAACAAAGCAGCAGGCATTGATGGCATTACAACTTAAGCCATCCTGGCATGTGGAGAAATAGCAATCACCTGGCTGGCCACAATATTCCAAAACGCACGGAGGAAGAGGAAAGTTCCAGAGAACTGACAGCATGCTGTTGAGATACCAATCTGGAAGAAGAAATGCAGCAAGAAAGATTGCAACATCTACCGAGGAATTTCTTTTATGAGCCACATAGGCATGATGTACGCAAAGATCTTGGAACAGCGTACAAGACAAAAGGTGGAACCATTACTGAGTGAGGCGCAAATGGGCTTCAGAAAAGGGAGAGGGTGCACAGACGCTATCTTTGCTCTTAGAAAACTGAGCGAAAGGACAATTACATACTACAAAGAATTGAATCTTGTGTTTGTAGACCACGAAAAAGCGTTTGATAGAGTAGATAGAAACAAACTGTGGCAAACACTTTAAGAGTACAGCATCATGGGACAACTGTTGGATAACATCAGAGCCATTTATACCAACAGTATGAGCACACTTCGCACCCAAAACAGACTCACTGATTCGTTCCACGTGTCACCTGGAGTGAGACAAGGGTGTGTGTTATCACCGTGTTATTAAATAATGTACATGGACAAAATTACAAAAGAAGCAAACCCCAACCCGATAGAACTGAATGAGATGCTATTTGAGGACGATCAAAACCTGGCATTTGAGAAAGAGGAGCAACTTCAAGACGGAGACGATGAAAATCAGCAGAACACCTGGTAACCTTAACATTACTATCGACAGAAATCCGCTGAAACAAGACAGCGAGCTCAAGGTATCTTGGTAGCATCTTTTCGGAAGACGCGCGTCTCAACAGAGAAATTGAGTCGAGAGTACAAGAGGCTAACAACGTCAGCTACCAGCTTGCCACTCCTCAAAGATCCTAACATCTCCATTGAGACCAAAGCCAAGCTCATTAACTCTATCTTCATCCCCACCTTGACCTACCAATGCCAGACATGGACCCTGACAAAAAGTCTGGAACGTAAGATAACCACCTGCGAGACGAGATGTCTAAGGAGAGCTGTCAACAAAACCAGACGGGACATTCTCAGAAACTACAAGATCAGAGAAATGGTGGAACAACACTTGTCCTCCACTACATTCGAAGGCAAACAATCATGTGGTTTGGATATCTCACACGTATGGCACCTAACCAGCTTGCCAGTAAAGCCTACTACAAGAAAGTACCAGGGTTCAAGGCAAGAGGAAGACCAAGGAAGTCCTGGATCCAAGGTGTGAAGGATACCCTGAGAACGTACCATATCCCACCGAGCCAGGTCATCAAACTTGCTTGAGACAGGAAGCTCTTCCTCCCCTCGCTCGACGCCCTAGAGGTACACGAGGATGGATAAAGTAAGTAAGAAGTATATTCCCATTGAACAGCATTGAAGGAGGCTGGAGTAAGAGGAGGAGGAGGAGGGAGGAAGAGGAGGAGAAGAACAAGAAGAACAGGAAGAACAAGAATAACAAAAAGAAATGTGATTCGTAAACAGAAATTAGAAGTGGATCTTAGAATGTAGTAGCACTTTCAGATTCCCGATAAAGACCAAAGAATGCAGAGTCATCGTGCGGTAGAAAGTCATAATATTATTATTTTTAAAATCACAGCTGACACTTCAGACTTTGATAACAAAAATTGGGACATAGATCGAGGACTTGAGGATCTTTTCTTTTTATCTGCAGAGTACAAAGGTACCAAAGATGGACAGTCGTTTTCTGGGATAAATTAAAGTGATCGTCTTACACAGGAGGACTTCTTGAACGGTGTCATTCCACGCTAAGTGTCTCACAATTTTAAAAATGAAGTCAAAATATTTGCCTAAGATTGCCATCCATTGTTTGTTAGGTTTTAGGTTGTTGTTTTTTTAACATATTTTTTAAATAAATAGAAACAAATGGACACAATAATGATTATTTACTGCTGGAAAAAAGAAGAGAGACATATAGAAAAAAAAGAGGGAAAGTAAAGAAGTAGGACCTTCCAGTAGTTTGTTTATTTGAGCAAATAGAAGCATGCAGATACAATAATGGTCGTTTAGTGGGGGGAAACAGGCAGACAGACAGAG